TAAATCTCCTCTTTGATGGCTCTTAAGCACGTAACAACTCGAAGGAAACCATATTGATCGACTGAATCGCTAAGACGCGCAGTCAAAACAAATCTCTTGAGGCCTCACTAGCCTCGCTTTCGCGCAACTAGACCCGGGCCGACCGAGAGATCCGCCATATTTGCATTCGGTGTATGCGTGGTTGCTTCTAGGTTCTGACAGAACTTTGATCAGATCGAAAGCGTTTTATATTATTTTGTTCTTATATTTCTTTAAATACATGTTCTTTTCAAGGTTTTAAGAGCGACGGTGAGGAAAAATCGACCGTGGCAAGAGTTGAAAAATCAATTTCTTTCACATTTTGTTCATAGATAGCTTTTAGGTAGATAAGAAACCTAAAGTAGATTGTTCCTGTCAAAAGCTTTTTATTTGTGAGAAAAATTACAAGATCGGTTTTTGATGTCGGAGTATAAGACTGCCCTAATTTTTAACCTGAAATTCGCTAACATCAACTTTCCTCGCGTTCGCAAACGAAGACGCATGGAGAAATTTGCACACTTTCCATGAACAGAAAAAAAATCTTTTTCTTCTACTAAAAGATACTTTCAGGACAATAGGGAAACTCGTCGTCCCGAAATAATTTAAAAACGAGGGATAGGTTTTCAGGATAACAAAAACTTAAGTTCGTTACTCATTTTCGAGGGCAATATTTAACATGTGGTAGAACTCCAAATTCTCTTCGTTTACTCCTGCTTCATGCTTATTTAAATCACACATTTAGACATTCATTTACAACATACCAAGGAACTGGCTTGGGTTATTTAATGTAATCTTTGTAAGACACCATCAAAGTTGAGGAATTTTCATGGTAGGCCGGCAGTCATTGTGTAAACACTTCCAATTTCGAAGCGCACAAAAGTAGACATTTACCGCCTAAAGGCTCGTTTTTTTTGTACTTCTTGTAGGTTTTCCTGTTGCAAAATTACTTTGTTCAACCAAAGAGTGGTGTAAAAAGGTGAAACTGGATCAATTTTAGCCATTTTGAAACACTGAACTCTACCAGCCGGCGACTCTGCGTGACAATCTGTTACATGCTGCACGTGACATAACGTACGTTTGAAGAGACGGAGCCGTCAAAATGACAGTCACGGAATCACGGTAGTAACGCAACGCAATTCTTGAAAGAGTAACATTTTCGATCCCGACAGTATTTTCAAACACGCTTTTTCTAGTACTCACTTTTTATCGAAAATTAAGGACTTTAACAATGGTAATTCGCTAAGGATGACGGAACAGGAAGATATTCCGTCTTGTTACTTTACGATCGAGGAAACTTAGAGCCATTAATTAAGTTATTTTGGTCACGCTTCACTACTTGCCTAAAGGAACCCAAGCCAATTCTCAGGTATGCTTTAGATGAATGTCTAAATGTGTGAATAAACGAGGACCGGGAAAATTTGGAGCTATACCACATAAAGAAAAATGCCGCAGAAAACAACTACTAAATTAAAGTTTTTGTCGCCGTAAAAACCTGTTCTTAGTTTTTGAATTATGTTAGTTCAACGAGTCTTGATATTGCTTTGAAAGTATCTTCTAGTGAAAGAAGAAGAGTTGTTCTATTGATGGAAAGTGTCCAAGTTTCCCCTTGCGGCTTTATTTGCGAACGCGAGGAGAGTTGATGTTAGCAAATTTCGGGCTGAAAATACGGCTATTTTGAGACTTCGACCACGAAAAATGATATTCTAACTTTTCTCGAAAATAAAAGACTTTCTGCGAGAACAACTTGCATCAGATTACTTATCTACCTAAAAGCTATTTATGGACAAAAAATGAAGGAAATCGATTTTTCAACTCTTGCCACTCACGCGATGGTCGATATCTCCTGACCGTCGCCCTTAATTTCCATAGTTATTTGTAAGATGAATCGAAGCGTCGTAGCTGAAATGTCATCTTGACTATGATCAATTTACTGCTGTAACTATTTTTTTCACGCTGGGTCTGGCCCAGGTTTATAGTAATATCGCTGTGGCTATATGGCCGGTAACCGGTCAAGGTTTTCAAAACACCAAATGGCCGGCAGTCCTATATTATCAGTAAATTTCACAAAATCCAGCTAATCTAAACTATCATATGTCGATTTAGAAAAGTCAAGCGATCCTGAAATGCTTTACAGATCTCAAGTTTAGTGTTTGGATTACGCTGGGCTCAGAGGAGGAAACCATGTTTTGTGACACTTAGAACTTATTTCAGCTCGACTGCCGGTCAAGGTTTTCAGAACACTAAATGGCGGCAGTTGTATATTCTCAGTAAATTTCACAAAATCGAAAGATTCCAGCTAATCCAAACTATCAGATGTCGTGATCCTGATTAAACCAGCCGGTTTTGTGGGATTTCTATATCATGTTTTTGTCGGTCGCGAGTCTTTAGATGTTCGTTACTGTTTTCTGTCCAAAGCATGGCGTGACAGGCGACGTTTGACGTCATACCATCTTGACCATTCATACGGCCTTTGCGAAAAACC